TCAATTGGAATTTTTTGCTCATGCACTTATCCACCTCAGTTTCTGGATATGTGCCTACAGTGTGGATTTGCCTTTTTTTTTTTTTCTAATACTCCAACGTCTGCCCCATAGAGTGTGTGAATTTGGACTATATTCTTACATATAAAGGATCTGATCTTTCATTGGAATTTTAAAAACATTCTTATCCAGAGGCCTAGGCAGATCTAGCTCTCATGCCACTTCCCTGGGTGGGGGCTCCATGTTCATGGAGAACACAGCTCCCTTAAGGGCCTCAAGTCATCTCAATCCCAGCTCCATCCCCTCTGACCCTAAAAGCCTACCTCTTCTGTCCCCATGTGGCTATTAGAACCCTATATTCAGGTCATTCTGGCCTGTACCAAGCCCAGCATCTCCTCAGGCTGCTGTGGCATGGGCTCCCATGATGACTCCCATGACTTGGAACTGGGTCTCCATTTCTGTCACCTGGCAAGGCTGGCTTCATGAGCTCAGCCATCACCCTCTTGATAGTCTGGTTAATTCTACCTTTGACTCTGAGTGAAGCCCAACGGGACCACAGGGCATGTGTGGGAGCAGAGGAGCCCCATGGAATATGTGTGCCTCCGGGTCTTGATGCTCTCATTGCATATGGTGCTGAGAAGGCCCCGTGAGCACAGGGTTCTGTTGAACCCAGGGAGGGTCACCAGGGGAATGTGCTGTGTCCACAGCCACAGACAGCTGGAAAAATGCCACACTTTTCCTTGAGATAAGAAGTTGCATCAAATGCACAGAGCAGCCAATGGCACACTAAGAAAGAGACCAGCAAGGAAGCCCATCCTGGCCTCTGCCCTTCACATCACCCCCTGTGTTCACCAATCACCTGTGCTGCCGATGGTGACATCAAAGGAAACGGGAAAGTGGGGCACACCTTAGTCTCTTTCCTTCCTTCCCTTCCTCCCTTACCTGTAAGCTGAAGGTACAGGGGGTTGGTAGAATGTGCACATGTCAGGACATCAGGGCAGAACAGATGACCCAGCTCTGCATGGACTTTCTGCTCCTGGGACATCTGGCGGGATGCACACACCACATCAGCTCTGGAGCACAAATTGCCAACTCGGGCGATTCTGTGGAGGATCCCCGGCTCCTGCCTCTGCATTGAAAGTTGACATCCTGTGACGGGAAGATGGTAAAATTCATGCTTGTGATTTCAGATTCACTTTTATTTCTTTGTTTTACTTAGAATAATATCAAATACCAAATTTAAAAAAAAATGAAAGAAAGAAAAAGAAAAACACCAACACGCATCAAGAAGGAAATCACAGAGGAAGGGAAAATCCTTACCCTCTAGGACCTCTGGGCACTCCTGCTTCCTGCTTTTTGTACAAAGACCCTGTATTTTCATTATTCTTGGGGTCAAGCAAATTATAGAGTTGGCCTGAGCACTTTCCTGTATATTTTATTTAAATTTTATTTTTACTAAAAATCCTTTGTTGTTCAGTCTCCTGTCAGCATTGACCTTGGTCTTTCAATTTGCTTCTGTTTCCCGCCTGCCCCCAACCCTGCTGCTCACCAAGCTCTCAGGTCAGATCTAAAAAAGACCCCGGATGGGAACTCAGCCGAGGCTCAACTCAGGCCCCCAGGAAATGCAAGGGTGGCTGTGGGAGGCCAACCTTACAGGTGACTGAGTTACACTCCCCAGCTGGGTGCTGAGGTGCTCAGTCACAGAAATGGGTGTGTCTTGCTACAGCCCCATGGGTGAAGCTATGCTCACCTGTTCCTTTGT